TCCTTGCCAACATCTTTTGTTTCCTGAATTGTTAATTTTAGCCATTCTCACAAGTGTGAGGTGGTATCTCATTGTGGTTTTGATTTCTGTTTCCCTGATGATGAGTGATATTGAACATCTTTTCATGTGTCTGTTAGCCATCTGGATGTCTTCTTTGAAAAAGTGTTCATGTCTTTTGCCCATTCCTTCACTGGATTATTTATTTTTGGGTGTTGAGTTTGATAAGTTCTTTATAAATTTTGGATACTAACCCTTTATATGATAAGTCATTTGCAAATATCTTCTCCCATTCTGTCGGTGCCTTTTAGTTTTGTTGAATGTTCTTTTGCTGTGCTGAAGGTTTTTATAAACTTGATGAGGTCCCAGTAGTTCATTTTTGCTTTTGTTTCCCTAGCCTCCAGAGACATGCCTAGTAAGAAGTTGCTGTGGTCGAGGTCAAAGGGGTTGTTGCCTGTTTTCTCCTCTAGGATTTTGATGGTTTCCTATCTTACATTTAGGTCTTTCGTTCATTTTTAGTTTGTTTTTGTGTATGGTGTAAGTTCATTCTCCTGCATGTCACTGTCCAGTTTTCCCAACACCATTTGCTGAAGAGGTTATCTTTTTTCCATTGGTTATTCTTTCCTGCTTTGTCGAAGATTAGTTGGCCATACGTTTGTGGGCCCATTTCTGGGTTCTCTATTATTTCCTTGATTTGTGTGTCTGTTTTTTCACCAGTACCATACTGTCTTGATGATAACAGCTTTGTAATATAGCTTGAAGTCTGTAATTGTGATGCCTCCAGCTTTGGTTTTCTTTTTCAACAGGACTTTGGCCATTTAGGGCCTTTTGTTGGTTCCATACAAATTTTAGAATTGTTTGTTCTAGCTCTGTGAAGAATGCTGATGTTATTTTGATAGGGATTGCATCGAAGTGTAGATTGCTTTGGGTAGTATTGACATTTTAACAATATTTATTCTTTTGATCCATGAGCATGGAATGTTTTTCCATTTCTTTGTGTCATCTTCAGTTTCTTCCATAAGCTTTCTATTGTTTTCATCATACATATCTTTTACCTCTTTGGTTAGGTATATTCCTAGGTATTTTATGGGTTTTGGTGCAATTGTAAATGGGATCGATTCCTTGATTTCTCTTTTTTTGCTGCTTCATTATTGGTGTATAGAAATGCAACTGATTTCTGTTAATTGATTTTATATCCTGCCACTTTGCTGAATTCATGTATCAGTTTTAGCAGTTTTTTGGTGGAGTCTTTCAGGTTTTCCATGTAGAGTATCATGTCATCTGCAGAGAGTGAAAGTTGACTTCTTCCTTGCTGATTTGGATACCTTTTATTTCTTTTTGTTGTCTGATTGCTGAGGCTAGGATTTCCAGCACTATGTTGAACAACAGTGGTGAGAGTGGACATCCCTGTCGTGTTCCTGACCTTAGGGGGAAAGCTCTCAGTTTTTCCCCATTGAGGATGATATTAGCTGTGAGTCTTTCGTATATGGCCTTTATGATGTTGAGGTATGTTCCTTCTATCCCTACTTTCTTGAGGGTTTTTATCAAGAAAGGATGCTGTATTTTGTTCAGATTGCTGCTTTTCTTAAACCTCGTGAACCTCTGCTAGCTTCAAGCTTTTTGTTTTGCAGCTTCCTCACCTCAGCCTTCATAGAATTGAAGAGAATTAGAAACTTGCTCTGGATTAGGCTTTGGCTTAAGCGAATGTTGTGGCTGGTTTGATCTATTCAGACCCACTTATACTTTCTCCATGTCAGTAATAAGGCTGTTTCACTCTCTTATCATTCGTGTGTTCACTGGAGTACCACTTTTAATTTCCTTCAAGAACTTTTCCTTTGTATTCACAACTTGGCTGTTTGGTGCAAGAGCCTAGTGCTCAGCCTATCTTGACTTCTGACATGCCTTCCTTACAAGCTTTATTATTTCTAGCTTTTGAGTTAAAGTGAGAGACATGTGATACTTGTTTTCCTTTGAACACTTAGAGGCCATAATAAGGTTATTGACTGGTCTAATTTCAGTAGCATGTTGTCTCAGAAAATGGAAAGCCCTAAGGAGAGGGTGAGAGGTGGGGGAAATGGGTGGTCAGTGGAGCATCCAGAACACACACAAAATTTATTAAGTTTGTCATCTTATGTGGGTACAGTTTATGGCACCCCAAGACAATTACAATGGTAGCATCAAAGGTCACTGAACATAGGTAATCATAACATATAATAATGAAAAAGTTTGAAATGTTGTGAGATTGATGGGGGGTGGGAGGGAGGGGAAGGTGGGTGATGGGTATTAAGGAGGGCACCTTTTGGGATGAGCACTGGGTGTTGTATGGAAACCAATCTGACAATAAATTTCATATATTGAAAAAAAAATAAAAGTAAAAAACAAAAAAACAAAGATAGGAACAAAAAGAAAAAAAAAGAAATGTGAGAATTACCAAAATGTGACACAGACATGAAGTGAGCAAGTGCTGTTGGAGAAAAGGTGCTTAATAGACTTGCTCGATGTAGGGTTGCCACAGAACTTCATTTTGTGAAAATCACAGTATCTGCAAAGGGCAGTAAAGCAAAGTGTAATAAAATGAGGTATGCCTGTATTCAGCTTGCAAACACAGATGCTACATTTGTTTTTCAAAAGTTGAATATTAGTTTAAATCATTACAGTAAATTACTCCTTTGTGTGCTATCACTGTATTAACTCTTGGGGATGAGTCTAGAAGAGGAGATAGAAAAGAAAACCGATTACTCTTTTTATTTTTTTTAATTGGTATTTGAATTTTTTTTTTAATCTTTATTTTTGAGAGAGAGAGACAGACAGACAGACAGAGTGCAAGCGGGGGAGGAACAGAAAGAGAGGGAGACACAGAATCCGAAGCAGGCTCCAGCCTCCGAGCTGTCAGCACAGAGCCTGACACAGGGCTCGAACCCACAAGCTGTGAGTTCATGACCTGACCCGAAGTCGGATGCTTAACTGACTGAGCCACCCAGGTGCCCTGGAAAAAGAGTACTCTTAAGAATATTTGGTCTTGGGCGCCTGGGTGGATCAGTCGGTTAAGCGGCCGACTTCGGCTCAGGTCATGATCTCGCGGTCCGTGAGTTCGAGCCCCGTGTCGGGCTCTGTGCTGACAGCTCAGAGCCTGGAGCCTGTTTCAGATTCTGTGTCTCCCTCTCTCTGACCCTCCCCCGTTCATGCTCTGCCTCTCTCTGTCTCAAAAATAAATAAACGTTAAAAAAAAAAAATTAAAAAAAAAAAAGAATATTTGGTCTTATGTGGAAAAATAATGTGAACATAAATGGAATACCTAGAAAATTAAATGGTTAGTACAAATTGGCAAGTGCTTTGGAGAACTAAGGAAATTAATTTAAGGAGAAGTCATTGAAGGCTGTGGTTGGGCAAAGCAGTTTATAGAAAAGATCTTGACCATGTATTTGAGGGAACTGCTAGGTTTGAATGGGTCAGGTACCTCGCATAACAAGATGAGTATTGATTTAACAGGTAGGAAAAACAAGCATTTTTTGGGAGCGAGAAGAATGTCTGCAGAAAATAATATTAAATAATATGTAGAAGTAAATATATTTTGCAGATATTTCATAGAGGAATGATCATGTGAAATGTATATAGACCTATAAAAAATATTTTTCTGTTCTCCCTCTGCCCCTTCCTTCCCTAGTAATATTTACGATTTTAAAGTCAGAGAAGTTAACAAATAATGAAATTAAAAAAATTTTTTTTAATGTTTTGTTTATTTTTGAGAGAGAGCAAGTGAGTGAGCATGAGCAGGGCAGGGGCAGAGAGAGAGAGGGAGTCACAGAATCTGAAGCAGGCTACATGCTCTGAGCTGTCAGCACAGAGCCCGATGCGGGGCTCGAACCCACAGACCATGAGATCATGACGAGCCGAAGTCAGACGCTTAACTGACTGAGCCACCCAGGCGCCCCACAAATAATGAAATTTTAAGTAAAGAGTTTAGGATAAAAAATTGATGACTTTTTCAGATTCTGTTTTCCTTACTTTTTTCCTTTTTCTTTTTTTAGATGAGTTATCACCACCCTTTTCTGAACAACACAACAGGGAGCAAATTTTAATTGGCTTGGAAAAGTTTATTCAAAAAGAATATGATGGTATGTCATATGTTAAAAATTGATTGTTTTTGTTATTATAGCCACCCAATCAGAGTTTCGTTTATTTTAAAAGTGTTCATTGAATGTTATGGTTAGGTACTAAAACAGGTGCTGGGAATATAGTACCAATACAAAAGGTGAAACCTGCTTTCATAAAACTTATATTAAGAGGAGTAGACAGAGTCAACTAACAAACAGGTGTACAATTTAATATCAGGAAATAATAAATGCTATTGAAGTACAGGAGTTGAAAGGATAGTGATGGAGTAGTTCTCTCTACTATTATGGTAGTTCTCTGATAAAGTCACATTTGAAGAGAGCCATGAATAATATGAGGGAGCAAGTTATATGAATGTCTAAGGAGAGAACATTCTAGAGAGAAAGAGTAGCAAGTACAAATACTCCAAGGTTGAATTATGTTTGGTATGCTTGAAGGCCATGCAGGAAGTCAGTGTGTCTGGAGTGGAGTTGTGAGGTAGACTGTAATAGAAAGTTGAGGTCTGAGACGTAGTCTAGAGATTGAGTCATTAGGGCCTTATAGATGTTGGTAGAAGGACTTTGAATTTTGAGTGTCTAATGAGAAGCTTCTGGAAGGTTTTAACACTTAAGTGGTATGATCTGAGAGAATAGAGTATGGGTCCATAAGAATAGAAGCAAGTGGAACATTTAAAAAGCTGTTGTATACATTCAGATGAGACGTAATAACATCTGAAAGAGTCAATGAAAGGGGGTCAAATTTAGGACATATTTTGAATGTAGAACTAATAAGATTTGCTGAAGCCTTACATGTTAGATATGAAGGGAAAAAAAGGTGTCAAGGACAGTTTAAAAGCTTTTACCTGAGTAGTTGGGTGGTACTGTTTAACTGAGATGGCAAAAATAGTAGAAGGAATAGGTTTTGGGCATGGGGACGAAGAATCGAGAGTTTTGTGGCCAAATATTTTAGGAAATGATAAAGAGTTGATTTATAATGGAATGAATGTATATTATGAAAGATCTGTTATATAAGATTACATTTTCCATTATATTTGCTAGTATATACAGTCCTGATCAAATCTAAGTCTATTATATTTAGCTTATGCACATTTTTATTTGCTGATGAACATAGCTTCTTTCACGTCTCTCAGTTGCCATTGAAATTTCAAGTTGGACATCAGAACTGAATTGGAGGATTAGGTTTTGAAAATGTAGAATTTGTTTTTTAACTGTGTAATCTACAGGAATTAATATGGAAAGAAATCCAATCCAGTTAAGGTACAGCTTGTTTGAAGTGGTAGCTGTTACTGACTGACACTAAATATGAAAGGATAATCCCATCATAATTTATATCAAATGGATTAATCACTCACTTTGGAAGGAGAATTAATTCTATGTACTTAGGTGATATTTGTAAAACTACTTGAATTGTGCCCTGAAAAAACTAGTTTACTAATTTCTAGGAGGTAAATCTCTAAATATTAAACTTTACTATTGGTAGTGTTGTGGAGAATGAAGAAAAGTGGATGAATTTATGAGTTAGTTACATTGAAAGCAGCTAATGGACTTGGTGATTGTTTGGATGTAGAAGCTGAGAGAGAGTGGTATTAAGAATAATACCTATATTTCTGATGTGGGCAATTGGGTAGATAAAAATACTATTTGCTGAGAATAGGGATTATAGGAGCAATAGTAGGTTTGAGGTAAAGTTGAAGGTTTAGTTTTGACTTGTTGAATTTATGATGTCTGTAGAAAAATGTAAACAGCAGTTAGAAACATGGGTTGTGGGAACTTGGGCAAAAGATCTGGGCTTTAGATGAATGTTTTGGAATTTCTCAGTATATCTGGCAATAGAAGGTAATTTAAGCTGTCAAAGTGGACAAGAGCATCTTGTGTTAGTCCATTAGTAGGTAATAAAAGACTTCTCTTTCCTACAAATTATAAAACTTTTGACTTTTGTTTTCCTTTACTTAGAAAAGGCCAGATTGTGCTTATTTGGCTCTTCTAAGAATGGATTTGGATTTCGTGATAGTGATCTGGATATTTGTATGACCCTGGAAGGCCATGAAAATGCAGAGGTAAGAGCTAGTGTCTGGAAAGGGATGTGGAAGTTTATTTTTTTCCAGTGGTGAATATATTTGAAATTATGTATGTAGTATTGATAAAAATACATTGTACCATTCTTTGTGAAAATATATCAGCAATTGTAGTATTTGAAATGTAAAAGCATTTAGCACTATCATTTTAGAAGACATTCAAATCTCTAAGTAAATTTACTGTTTCAATAATTTTATATCATGAAAACAATGTCACTGAGTTAAAAGTGCTTTGTATTGAATTTTTGGGAAAAGTTAATATACGATAGAGTTGTAGTTTTTTCCATTAGAACCAATGGGAAGCTGGTGCTACACTACGAGTGAACATTGATCTCACTTTCTCTGTCTTTTCATATCTCTTCCGTTAAGTGATATCTTTGTATCACTAAAGATAGAAAATAAAGGTGGGCATCTAATTTATAAGTAGGTTGTATTGTACAAGTTATTTAGAATTTGTGAGCAATTAGAAGACATTTTTTTCCATAAAGCATTATTATAAATGTTGCATTCTAGGATAGCTTTTAGTCAAGAAATGCATTTTGGGTGGGAAGGGGAACTAACAGTTATTGAGGCCTCATTTCATTCTTACAACCACCTTCGAGGTAGATAATTTCCCCCATTTTACAGATGAGGAAACTGAGGCTTTGAGAGATATACTGACTTGCCCAAGTTCACACAGCTAGTAAATGTTCGAGCCGGGATTCGTACCCAGGTCTGTCTGACTCCACAGTTCATGCTCTTTCCATTGTATCTCACTGCTTCTCTGTAATTTATTTAACCCATAATGTAGCTGAAATTTAGTACTAATACTACTGTAGAACCTAATCACTACTTTTGGAATTTCACTGTGAGATGCCAGGAGCAGACCTTCCCCCAGAGCAGTCTCAGCAGTGAGAGTGGGTACTTGTGCTTTCTTTCTTCGTGTATCAGCCTTCAGTAGTGGGAACAAGATTGTCCAAGCTCCACTAAAGAAAGGGACTGATTGGACAGGGAAGTATCCCAGGCCTTCCTAGCAGCCACTAAAAAGGAGGGGATCCCTATAGTTGCTCATTCCTTTAGGAACATAGCTGTTGGAATTTATGTTTCAAGATCAGGGGCTGCTTGCAAGATTGGGGTGTGGCCAAGCTTCTGGCATCTGTAGTGGTGTCAGTATAGAGTGTTATTATAAAAGAATTCAGAATCGTGTACTGTGGGTTTCTGAACATTTTTTCAAAAGGTGGCTTTTAAATTGTTAGAATCAGAGTAAAGATGGCAGAACCATAGTAAAGATGGCAGAGTAAACATGTCTGGTTGATCCTTATTTCTGGCCCTAAGAAACTGCTTCTAGTATTAACATCTTATTCTTTTTTTTCCTTTTAATTATTTAATTCTTTCTGGGAGAGAGAGAGAGAGCGTGCATTTGTGTGCACGTGAGTAGGGGAGGGGCAGGAAGGAAAGGGAGAGAGAGATTCTTAAGCAGGCTCCATGCCCAGTGCAGAGGCTGATGCAGGGCTCCGTCTCATGACTGTGAGATCATGACCTGAGCTGAAATCAGAAGTTGATGCTTAACCAGTTGAGCCACCCAGGCGCCCCTTAATATCTTATTCTTTAAAAAATGGAAAAGTTGTAAATGTTTTAGTTCTCCTTAACTAACTTCTGCTCGGTGCCATCTACTTGGAAATAGGCTTCCCCTCTCCATTTTGAAGAGCAAGAATTGAGGGAGTAGGAAATGATTTTACCCAGGGAAGAGGTTAGGGTTTAGATACCTTCTATGTAAAATTTAATAGTCAGACTCTAGGCACTAAGGGTTTGTCTGTTATATATATATAATCTGTGCCATTAACATTGGAAAGTTGAAACAATAAAAAAGATTAAATTTGCTTCTAGATGAGCCATAGTTGAAACTTATAATTTAGCATAAATTGTATCCTTACATAATAAAGAGAAAAATTATCTCTTATTTTATTATGTGTTAATTAGTAACTAAAGGTTTCCTTGAAATCCTCAGGTTAAGTTGTAATAGCTTCTGGTCTCTTATAGCTAAAAAGAGCACGTTAGGGATATACAAAAGTGATTTTAGTAGAAAGTGTGGGCACTGATGTATATACCATTCAACTTAATCCATTTAATTTATAATGCCATTATCTCCCTATTCCTTGTATCACGGTTATTGTCACATTTAAACTCTGCTGTCTCTGGATTAAAAAAAATCAATATATTTCAATTTGTGGGGGTAAGAATTTTCTTGAAAAAGTAGATTGTGTAATAATTGGATTACTTTTCTTTTCCTCATCAACATAGTAATAATAATAATAATAATAGCTCACAGACTTAAAGTGCTTATTTTGTGCCAAGCATGCTGCTGAATGCTTTCATACATGTCTCATGTAATTCTTCCAACTACTTGGTAGGGTAGACATTTATCATTATCTTGATTTTATAGTATTAGGCTCCGAGGTTTAAGGATTCACAGTCACACAGCTAGTTAATACTTAGTTGAAGATTGTTTGTCTAAATTCAGAGCCTATGTTCTTAATCACTGTACTGTTTTACCTTCACCATATCCATCCTTAGTTACATATTCACATATTTGAAAACAGTATTCTCTTGTCTTTGTGCTTCTCACACTTTAATGTGGATGTGAATTACCTGGGAATCTTGTTAAAATGCAGATTATGATTCACTAGATTGGGGCGGGGCCTGAGATTCTGTCTTTCTGTCAAGTTTCCAGACGATGCTGATACTGCAGGTTTATAGACCACATACTTTGAGTAGCAAGGGTATATTTGTATACCCTTATACATATATAAGTAGAGCTTATAGCTAGCTGGAGATTTGAAATGCTAGTATTAAATGCCTCATTACAGTAGAATTTGCACAAGGCCAAATTGAGTTAGACAAACTTTATTATTTGTTTCTTTTGTTTTTTAGAAATTAAACTGTAAGGAAATAATTGAAAATTTGGCAAAAATTCTTAAGAGACATCCAGGTATGAATTTAAATTATAGCTTTAAAACAACAAAATATTTTTTAGCTTTATGAAAATTATTTAACATAATGAAATTTTTGTGTTTGTTTGTCTTAAATCAGGTTTAAGAAACATTTTGCCTATAACTACTGCCAAAGTGCCTATAGTAAAATTTGAACATAGACGAAGTGGTTTAGAAGGCGATATCAGTTTATATAATACATTGGTGAGTTTCTCTTTCTGTATAGACCCAGGTATTTGTTATTTTAAAAGTTTACAGATCACTGACCATTTATGTTTAGATGTTTCAAATGTATTTTAAGACAAAAATATTTCTATGAATCGTCTTGATATTTCCTTCACATTGAAGATTAGTTTTTGATTCATTTATAGGTATTTTAAGTTTTACAATTATATATTTTATTTGGATTGTATTATATCTTTTTATCTGATTTCTGAGTTTAATTTTAATAAATTTGAAATGCTTTCCAATATGTAATTATTTTTCAGGCTCAACATAACACAAGAATGCTAGCTACTTATGCAGCTATTGATCCTAGAGTACAATACTTGGGATATACTATGAAAGTGTTTGCAAAGGTATTTATTAAATAGTTAATGATCTGCTTTGTTATAATACTCATGATAGTTAAGATGATATATATGGATGTCAGACTTGTGGCAAAAATCTTCTCAGTTTTACTTGGCTGAGCTTTTATTTTATTATTATTTTTAATGTGTACTTGTTTTTAAAGCTTATTTTTTTATTTTGTGTAAGAGAGTGTGAGTGAGTGGGGGAGGGGCAGAGAGAGGGAGAGAGAGAATCCCAAACAGGCTCCATGGTGTCCGTGTAATGCAGAGCCCAATGTGGGGCTCAGTTCCACAAACCATGAATTCATGACCTGAGCCAAAATCAAGAGGTGGATGCTTAACCAACTGAGCACCCAGATGCCCCTGTTTATTTGTTTTGAGAGAGAGAGAGGGCATGTGCACGTGCTGACACTTGTGTGTAGCAAGGTAGGGACAGAGAAGAAGAGAGAATCCCAAGCAGGCTCCACACTGTCAGCACAGAGCCAGATGCAGGGCTCGAATTCATGACTGAGATCATGACCTAAGCCGAAATCAAGAGTTGGATGCCCAACCAACAGAGCCACTCAGGTGCCTCATTACTTATCTGAGCTTTTAAAGGGAAGCACTCTATTAAATGATTTAAATTTATCCTGTTAGAGTAGGGTGAGTCTTAGTTTTTTCCTGTGTGTGCTCTATTCCTATGTGCAATACTTTCGTAAATTTCTCAGTGGAGTAAAGATTTTCAGCCCCAGGTCTGGGAGTTGGCATATCATACTGAGTTAGGTAAGAATCTCTGAGTTAGGAAATCTGAGATTTGGGTCTAGTCATAAATTTTTCTAAGAAAACAAAACAATAAAATGTGTTTCTTCTGTTATAACACTTATAAACTGAATTCTGTTTTCTTGTTTTTCACTAAGTGTGTAAACTCTATGAAGATGGAGACCTGTATCCCCAGTTTAGCGTACCTGCTTTGTGCTAGCTATTCAGTAAACAGTTAATTTTGTGAATGTGTTTGTGGAAGACTTCTAGTAGTGGAGTGAGTTGGTCACGTTTTCATTTAGTAAAATCCACTCTTCCAGCAGGAAGACATATTTGTTTAGATATTCCTTTAGCATGTCTGTGGACAGAGGTCATCTTAGAAAAGAATGATGGAGTGCCTGGGTGGCTTAGTTAAGCATCCGACTTCGGCTCAGGTCATGATCTCACAGTTTGTGAGTTTGAGCCCCACATCGGGCTCTGTGCAGATAGTTCAGAGCCTGGAGTCTGCTTCAGATTCTGTGTCTCCCTCTCTCTCTGCCCCTCCACTGCTGGCACTCTTTCTCTCTCAAAAATAAATAAACATTTAAAACAATTTTAAAAAAAGAAAAGAATGGCATTCAGACACATTCTCAAATCGTATTTGATATGGCTACTTTTGGATTCACCTCACAGAATAATTTTAGCATGATCATTTGCAACTACGTGGATGGAACTGGAGGGTATTATGCTAAGTGAAATTAGTCAGAGAAAGACAAAAATCATATGACTTCAATCATATGAGGACTTTAAGAGACAAAATAGATGAACATAAGGGAAGGGAAACAAAAATATAAAAACAGGGAGGGACAAAACAGAAGAGACTCATAAATATGGAGAACAAACTGAGGGTTACGGGAGAGGTTGTGGGAGGCGGGGATGGGCTAAATGGGTAAGGGGCACTAAGGAATCTACTCCTGAAGTCATTGTTGCACTATATGCTAAATAACTTGGATGTAAATTTTAAAAAATAAAAAATAAAACAAGTTAAAATTAAAAAAAAGTAATTTTAGCATGATGGGTCTGTACTCTTGTGGAGTTGTGGCAATGAAACTTAAAAGTGTTTCATATCAGAAATCATTCCTCTCTCTTTATATGTCAGCTAAAGTCTTAGTGGAAGTCTCTGAGGATTCTTTCATGATATTTTTCAATTAAAAATTTTGTTTTGAATAGTCAACTTATTCATGTGGTTTTGAATTTAAAAGGTCTAAAGGGATTTCTGCTGGAAAATCTCTTGTCCACACCTGTCTCCTAGCTAACCAGTGCTTCTTGCTGGAGGCAACTGGTGTTAAAAAGTTCCTCTGTGCCTTCCCAGAAATATGTCAGTATAAGCAAATACATAAATTTCTTATCTCCTTTTTATTACAGGTATAAATATACTGAAAACATTGTTTTGTATTTTGCTTTCCTCACTGAATAATAGATAGAAATTATTTTCTATTAGTATACTAGAGCTTTTTTGTTCCTTTTTTTCTTCCTTGTTCTTTTTTAATGGTGACACCCTGTTCCATAGTGTAGTCATCAGTTTTTTAAAACCTGTGCCCCACTGATGAGTCTTGTTTCTATTTTTTTGCTGTTAAAATAGTGCTATAATAAAAAAAAAATTTAAGTTATTTCACATGTTTTTTGGTGTTTTTGCAGGATAAATCCTTAGAACAGAATTGCTAGGTTAAGTAAGATATACTTTTGTAATTTTGATATTGCCAAATTATTCTTCATAGATTTTATGCTAATTTATACTGCCATCTGTAATGTACAAGAGTGCCTCTTTGCCCATCCTCATAATAGTTTGTTGTTAGCTTTTGGATATTTGACATTTTGACGGGTTAAAAAAATAGTGTCTTCATGTAGTCAGTACTTCTGCATGGAATAAGATTCTGAAGTTTTATTTTCAATAATATTTCTGTTTCTTTAGCGATGTGACATTGGAGATGCTTCCAGGGGAAGTTTATCTTCATATGCTTATATCCTTATGGTGCTGTACTTTCTGCAGCAGAGAAAACCACCTGTTATCCCAGTTCTACAAGAGGTAGGTTTTTAAAGTGTAAAGGAGTTTCTTGTGAAAATTGATCTACACATAGTAGATCTTGTGTAGTTTATGAGATCATGAAGGAATTTTTCCAGCATGGACAATTCTGAGTTTTCTTCTTCCTTTAATGTTATAATCATATAATGAACTTTTTTGCAAAATTCATTATGGGAGAATATAGACTACCAAAAGAATAATAGATGAACAGAACTATTAAATATCTTTTGCAACAGTTTTGTATTTCACAGTATTAGAGTATTGCAGATGATTATGAAAGTCTTGTAGCCATCGATGAACTCATACATCATATCATCTCAGATGCAAATATAAAGTTTCTTCTCTCCATAGTATTCTCCCTTCTCCTGCCTGGCAATGAGGTTTGGTATATTCTTGTGTATACTTTGGTCAACTTTGTGAATTTTTGTTGAGAGAAAACCCAAGGAAATTCTTCCTCATCTCTGTAAGGGTATGTTAATTGCAGTAAGTGTAAGAGTGTACATCAGAAGAAACAGATTGTACTCCTTTTCATTCAGATTTGGTGACTTAAGGATTCTCTTTTTGTAGCCAATTTATACTCTGTTATAGATTTAAGGGATTTCTTAATCATCTGTCTTTTCCTCCTCATTCTTGGCACAATGTGTATTTGCAAGCATTAGGGAGAATCCAGTTCTAATTTCTTAGGAAAGTGTTTATTTTCACATAAAGAGAAGAATCCGTTAGAGTTGCTTGGCAGTTCACATATTCTGACTTCACATAAACCGATAGTCATGGCAGAAAAGAAAATCACACAATAAGCAAGCCAAATGGTGAATGTCAGATAGCCCTAGTAAATTTTAAAAAGTTCTAATGAATGTCATGTGCTTATAGCAGCATTTCCTTGCCCCTTTTTAAGATAACAATGGAAAGGAATCAAAAATTTCAAATATCCTTTCTTGGCAGAAAATTTTAAGTTGCTGAATTTATGTTGAATGATGTGGTTTTTGACAAGGTTGTTCACAGTAGGATGCTTAAAATTTATCATGAATTAATGAGGCCTGACAAGGCCAGGATCATTCTCTGTATTAGTCCATTGTTAACGGCTTTAAATTTGGGGATCTTAAATGCATTATTGCCCAGGAATACCATAGCAGCCATTTACTATGATTTGCTATGACTTCGACAGAATACCATGACTAAAATGGAACACAAAATTTGTTTTCATGGTGGTTTGTCTATGTTGTGTAATTACATTACCCATGAATGAGATACCACTAAGGTAGCACTATATAATGGAAAGAGCAGGCGCATGATTTTGGAGCCAGAGATACCTGATGTGAATCCTAATTCTGATATTGTGGCTTTCAAAAAGTTGCCTAACGGCCACTAGTCTGAGTTTCATCAACAGTAATAATGTAGTAGTATTATTTCAGTATTGATATAAGGTACAGAGAAATCGGATGCTTTTGCATATAGTAGGTGCTAAATGGTGCATGTTTTATTATCATCATCATCATTAGCAGATTTTTAAATATTATTACTGGGAAAATGTAGGCAGGACTATAGTAGCCAACTTCAAGAACTCTCCCATTATCTGCATAACAGTGCTTGATGAAATGAGAGGCAGTCCATGGAATGTTTTCCATCATAATGAGCTCTGATTGTGGGGGGCTTTGTGATACATATGAACTGATGATATATGGATTTTGCTTCTGGCATTTTTGCTTGTCATATGGGACCCCATTGTCCATTCTTGGCATCATTTAAGTATTGGTCATTGGCATTGATCAACTTTTAAGGGTAAGGATATGTTTAATGAAGATGATGATCTTTGACTCCATTTGTAATTGAACCTAGACTTGAAGTGACTGGGTATAAGTAATGTTCTACTAAGTGTATTTTTCATGGTTAACAGTACAAAGTTATGTAGGTCAAAAGGAGCTTTCCTAAGAGAATGGTTTTGCTGTATTCTAGAAAATCATCGTAAGTAAAGTACATTTTCATATAAAAATGCTAAAAAAGAATTAGGGAGTGTTTCACACTTGATACTATGAACCACTATGTTTTCTTAGCTTATATCAGCTTAAAAATTGCCATTGAATGGATGAATCTTGAGGGCAGTATGTTAAGTAAGATAAAACAGTGGGAGAAATATTGTGTGATTCCACTTAAGTGAGGTAGTCAAATCCAAAGAGATGGAAAGTGGAATGGTGGTTTTCAGGGGCTAGGAGAGAGAGGAAGAGGGAATTATTGTTTAATAGTTTCAGTGTTTCATTTCTTTTCAGTGTTTCATGAAAAGAATTCTGTGGGTGGATGATGGTGATGGTGTACAACAATGTGAGTGTGCTTAATGCCACTGAACTGTACACTTATAAAATTTATATCATAATCATTTGTTGTGTGTATTTGTTATGTGTACACATAACATATTATTATGTTATGTGTAAAAAAATTGCAATTTAAATATAGCAGTAGAAGGGCACCTGGGTGGCTCAGTTGGTTAAGCATCCGACTTTGGCTCAGGTCATGATCTCATGGCTGGTGAGTTTGAATCCCCACGTCGGGCTCTGTGCTGGCAGCTCGGAGCCTGGAACCTGCTTTGGAATCTGTGTCTCCCTCTTTCTCTGCCCCTTCCCTGCTCGTTCTCTCTCTCTCTCTCTCTCTCTCTCTCTCTCTCTCTCTCTTTCAAACAAAAATTAAATATAGCAGTAGATACTAAAATACTACAATTAAATATAAAAGTAAATATGGAAAACATACAGGGTCACTCCTTGTACAAATATGATTGAGATGTGTCATGAAGTTTTAGAGGGAGTACTGAGTGCTTGAATAGAAAATGATGGTGTTGAGAGAGAGAAAGAGAAGAAAGAAATGCAAAGAGTAAGTGTGTGCGTGTGTAAGAGAAAGGGAGGATAGAATTAATGCTTTTTCTAAGGGCTGAAAGAGTGGAAAGTTAGAAAATGAAATATGAGAGCTCATAAAAAAATTGGCAAATCAGTGATTAAACACCTTCCAAGGCCCACCCCCCAGGGTTCACTTCCTGTGTTAATCAGCCAACATAGTTGAGTTTGGATCACGGTGGTTACTCAGAAATAAGAATTATATCAAAAAGAATCAAGGTCTAAAGTGGTAGCTTGTATTATTTTCCATGTAATATCTATAATAGTATCCATAAGGGTAAAATAATCTATAAGGGTAAAATATTACACTTTGGCTCCTTTGAAGCCTTCATTTCTTTTTTCATGGCAAGATCCCATATCTTTTGTTTTAGATATCAATATCTGTAATTGCCAGGCTCTCCGTTGTTTGCTTTATGAAGTGTTAGAATTTATGGTAGATAAGTGGTAACTGTATTTAAGTTACATATAAATAAAAAGCAACTTATTAGCTTAAGTTTCTGGAAACTTGATCACTTTATGAACATGCTTTCAGAGTAAATATATTCATTCAACAAACATGTATTAAGTATTCTCTATATGACAGGCTGTGATGTAGTAGGAATTTTGGCTCCAGTGGAAAGTTACAGTTTTTGCCTACAAGGAACATAAAGCTGAGAGTGAGATTAGATGGGCCAGACATGTTAATTTTGTAAATCACTGTACCATCTAAAATGGAAGGGGTGATGAGGGAGGACCACCTTATCTGATGGTTTTGGAGTATTTTCTGGTAAGCTCTGGGGACTCATTAGTGTACATGTGAGAAGTGAGATAAAGAAAAATGGGGTATGTTTCCTGTACTCAGGCTTCTATCAGAGTACCTCTGCTTTTTATCTGTTTTACCTATTAAGCTTCCAGGAAGGTTGCATTTTAGGAGAAGTTTCTACAGCTTAAGAGGAAAAGAAAAAAGGAAACAACTGACCTAATTAATCTAATCTCTCATTTTCATTGAGAATACCTAAGGGTTTAAGAGGATAATTGTCTTATCCGGAATCACTACTTGGCAGGACTAAGACTAGAAATGAAGTCTGCTGACTGTGAACCTATTGCAACTTTCTACTTTATTGCATCTTTTTTTTTTTTTTAATCTCATGGGATACTTTTCTTCTAGTAAAGTAGCATTACTCACCGCCCCCTTCCTCTCCTTGGTCGGGACAGTGAATTATTATGCATAATTAATCATGAAGCTTTTGGGGGCACATGGGTGGCACAGTCAGTTAAGTGTTGGACCCTTTGTTTCAGCTCAGGTCATGATCTCACAGTTTGTGAGTTCAAGTGCTGCATCAGGCTCTGTGCTGGCAGTGTGGAGCCTGTTTGGGATTCTCTGTCTCCCTCTCTGCCCCTCCCCTACTTGTGCTGTCTCTGTCTCAAAAATAAAATAAAGCCTTAAAAAAAAACATGTTTAAAAAAAATATCAGGGGCACCTGGGTGACTCAGTCAGTTGGGGGTCTGACTTAGGCTCAGGTCATGATATTGTGGTTTGTGGGTTCAAACCTCACATTGGGCTCTGTGCTGACAGCTCAGAGCCTGGAGCCTGCTTCGGATTCTGTGTCTCCCACTGTCTCTGTCCCTCCCCCACTCATGCTCCGTTTCTTTCTGTCTCAGAAATATATAAATATAAAAAAAATTTTTTTATCATGAAGATTTTACAATTTTTATGAAGACGTCAGGGAAATCTACCTAATTTTCTCTCTAAAGAAATCAATGCCCAGGGACTTTTCAGCTTCATCTGACACAGATAACTGATTAAAAGTACTAGACCCCTTCCCCAAAACAATCAGTTCCATTGATTTCTTTTGGGTGTACATATCAATAGGTATTATGTGTTTCTGCATCTATGATCCTTTGATGAAAATTCAGTTTTCATTGTTTTTTTCTTTAGTTTTACTTCCTTATTTTTCCGCTGGATGTGTTTGGACAGGCCAAATAGATAACATCAAATGTGTCAATTTGTAGAGTCTCATGCTTTGACCTTCCAGATACATTTTATTCATTAATAACTTGGCATCAAATTATACTATCCTGACATGTTCCTTTTGGAAGAAGTATTTCAATGTGTCTTTTATAGCTACATTCTGAAATGATTTGAGAATACTTAGGCTTTTGGGTTGGATGACTTGAAATCTGATAATAAAATTGTTTTTGCAGATCTTTGATGGAAAACAGATTCCACAGCGAATGGTTGATGGATGGAATGCATTTTTCTTTGATAAAACAGAAGAGCTGGTAATTTTTTCGTAACCTTTATGTTACAGAATGCTCACTGATACATGTTAGGATTTGAATAATTTAATAATTTTACTTGAGGTCCATATTTTGGGTAGGTATTGACATCTCTCTCTCTTTGTTCTCACTTATAGAAAAAGCGTTTACCTTCACTTGGAAAGAATACAGAAACGTTAGGAGAGCTTTGGTTGGGACTGCTTCGCTTCTATACTGAAGAGTTTGATTTCAAGGAATATGTAATTAGCATTCGGCAGAAAAAGCTGTTGACAACTTTTGAGAAGCAGTGGACATCCAAATGCATTGCAATTGAAGGTAATCATTTAACTGATATTACCTGAGGAACAAAATAAAACAAAACAAAAAGCTAGAGTTTCATTTGGGAAGGAAATTGAGGGGAGAACTAAAACACATTAGAATTTGGAAGATTCTTCCTCTTTTAATCTATAATTTTTAAAAGAATAATTTGCTGATTTGAATGGTCTGAGTTATATAGTATTAGACTCTAGTTATGGCTCCTAAGTTTATGTTATAGTGAACATAATTTTTAATTAAAAAATAAATATTTCTTTTCTAGATCCTTTTGACTTGAATCATAACCTTGGTGCTGGAGTTTCTAGGAAAAGTAAGTTTGAAATATAGAAATCTCCTGTTTTTAAAGCTCTCTTCTACATTAAGGTCTGCATCTTTATTATTTTCTTCTTTTTTCAATAGTGACCAATTTTATCATGAAGGCATTTATCAATGGAAGGAAACTTTTTGGTACCCCCTTTTATCCACTCATTGGCAGAGAAGCTGTAAGTTTACATAATTTGAATTCTGAATATTTTTTCTTATAAGAACTGTTCTTTGCAATACAGGAAGCCTTATCCTGTTTTCAAGTTGGTGTTAGGAATAGGGGAAAGAGATGATTATAAGCTCCCTGTATTGTTTTTTTATTGCACTTGTCATAGTCCATAATTAGATACCTATTTGCTAAATGTTGTGTATTTGTTAATCTGTTAAATTTTGTCTCCCTCATTAGACTGTAGCTCCATGAAGACAGGTCTGTCTCTTCACCGTCATACCTCTAGTACCTGTCGTAGTGCCTGGCACATAGGATGTATCAGATAAGCATTTGTTGAATGAGTGAGGGTAGATATTCAAGAGTCAGTATCCTTAAAGTTTGAATTTTTTTTAAAATGTGTTTTAAAAACACTTTTTTTAAATGTTTATCTTTGAGCGAGCGAGAGAAGGAGAGAGAATGCTCGAATGGAGGAGGGGTGGAGAGAGAGGGAGATACAGAATCTGAAACAGGCTCCAGGCTCCAAGCTGTCAGCACAGAGCCTGATATGGGGCTTGAACTCACGAACCTATGATCTCATGACCTGAACCAAAGTTGGATGCTTAACCGACTGAGCCACCCAGGTGCCCCTTTAAATCCTGAATTTGAATTGTTGCCTACTGTCCCTCTTCCATCTCTAGAAGTCTTTTTTTTTTAATGTTTATATATTTATTTTGAGAGAGAGAGAACAGGGGAGGGACAGAGAGAGAAGGAGAGAGAGAGAGTGTCCTAAGCAGGCTCTGCCACTGTCAGTGCAGAGCCTAACTCAGGGCTCGATCTCACAAACCTTGAGATCATGACCTGAGCCGAAATCAGGGGTTGGGTGCTTAACTCACTGAGCTACCTAGGTGCCCCTTATCCCTTGAAATCTAAATGAAAATACAAACAGAGAGGACAGCACCAAAGAAATACTTTATTATTTGCTGAGGCTTCTGCCCTAATTTTGGTGTAGCCCTGGTAAGCTGAATTTGATGGCATGGAACTGAGAGGATTCCTTTTACCTGAACTGGGTGGCATAGTGTTTCCCATTCTTCTTGGTCTCATTCTGTTTTTTTTGCTTGCTTTCTAATGGGAGGAGGTCTAAGTTTCACAGAAACTTCCAAGAGAAGCAATCTCAAGAGAGAAGAAACTGTGTCTCTACTATTGCCTAATTAATATCCTCAATCTTGTTCAGTACAATTTCCACTCTCTTTTTTTGGGATGTAGGGTAAGAAAAGTAGAAAAGTCTAGAGCTTTATTCCCTTGGAGCATTTTTTTCCTACCTTTTGGGGGGTGATAATAATTATAATGGAGAGAAATAAAATAACAGTAAAATTTGAAATGACACAAAAGTTGTATAAGAACAAAAATGTCAAACAAACGGAAAATCCAACAATAATTTTACTAACATACTCATTAAAATAGCAATAAGTAAAGAGCACAGTCAGATCAGAACAAATCTGATGATGCACTTATAAAACATTTTACCTGAAAATTGTGGGAATTCCAATTGTTAGTGTGTGTATATACATATATATACATGCATGTGTTCCATAGAACCCAGCAGTTTCATGTTGTCAGACTTTTTAGTAGAATATTAAATTAGAATACTTAGTAAACTGGAAATGTGCTAACTTTAGTCTATGAATATAAGATTTTAGTAACTCATAATAACTCAGTATGTTATAAGCAGTTCTAACAGATATCAGTCTTTGGTCTTGAATATCATTTGGTATAAAAGCCAAATATCAGTTTGGGGCCTATCAGAAGTCTGGGCCTATGAGTTGGCTAACCATTTTTTGATCGAATTTTTCCTTTTTAAAAGTTAATATATAGTATTCTATGGCTTGTGTATTCTAGTCTGTTCTCCTTTGACAGGCATTTAGATTGTTTTCATTATATCAGTGTTACAACTGATGCTATTAAAAAATACCCTTGTTAAATAGTCTTTCATGCTTATACTTGCCATAGTAAAATTTATTCTTTCAATGCATATTTATTGAATTCCTACTTGTACTGATTTCTCTGCTATGTACTGACAAGGCTTATAAGTATACAAAATAGATGTGTTTCATTCTTACACTAATGAAAATGAAGACAAGTATATTTTCTATTCATCTTTTTCACTTACGTATTCCCACTTCAACTATTCTACACCATCAGGTTCTCTACTATACTGACCCATTTTCTCCCATTCTGTCAGCTATCTTCTGTCTTCATTTTTCTTCCTATTCAAGTTAGATTTCCTGGTCTGTTCTCTTGCATATACTTTCTTTATTTTTCCTTTTTTTTTTTTTTTAACTTAAATTTTAGTTAACATATAGTGCAAATGTTGGTTTCAGGAGTAGAATTTAGTGATTCATCACTTACATATGCTTATCACAACAAGTGCCCTCCTGAATATCCATCACCCATCTTAGCCCATTTCTCACCCACCTTCCTCCATCAACCCTCAGTTTGTTCTTTATTAAGAGTCTCTTATGGTTTGTTTCCCTTTCTCCTCTCCCCCCATTTTTATATGTTCATCTGTTCTGTTTCTTAAATTCCATGTATGGGTGAAATCATATGGTATTTGTCTTTCTCTGACTTATTTCACTTTGCATAATGCATTCTAGCTCTATCCACATTACATATGGCAAGATTTCATTCATTTTGATGGCTGAGTAATATTCCATTGTATGTAAGTATGTGTGTGTGTGTGTGTGTGTGTATACACACACACACACACACACCCCACATCTTTACCTATTCATCAGTTGATGGACATTTGGGCTTTCTCCATAGTTTGGCTATTGTTGACAGTGCTGTGCCGTATACTTTCATTAATTAAAAAAATTTGTTTTTTTATTTGAGAGAGCAAGAGAAAGCATGTGCAAGCAGGGGGGAGAGAGAGAATCTCAAGCAGGCTTCATGCTCAGGGAAGAGCCTGACACAGGCTCAATCCCACAACCCTGGGATCATGACCTGAGCCAAAATCAAGAGTTGGAAACTCAGTTGACTGAGCCACCTAGGTGCCCCAATGTGGCCTACATTTTCAATTCCTTTGCACCATTGTCCTCTTTTGCACCGTTTTTTTTCTTTGTTTTTGTTTATTTTTTTGTTTTGTTTTGTTAAGAGAGAGAGAGCACAGGCAAGGGAAGAGGGGTAGAAGGAGAGAGAGAATCTCAAGCAGGCTCCATGCTCAGGGAAGAGCCTGACATGGGGCTCAGTCCCAAACCTGGAATCATGACCTGAGCCAAAAGCAAGAGTTGAATGCTCAACTGACTGAGCTACCCTAGGCCTTCCTTTCTTTTGCACCCTTATGTGTTCAGCCTTACATGAATTCACTCATCCACCATCTGTCTGTGCTTGGGCAGCTAAGCACTATGGAAAAAAGTCATAAAGCTAGGTGGTTTTATTTATATAGTACAACTATAAATTAATGTTTACTGGCCTAAATTAGACTTTCGGTACCATGTGACATTCTTACTACATTAAAAAAATTTTTTTTTAATGTTTACTTATTTTTGAGAGAGAGAGAGTGACAGAGCATGAGCAGGGAAGGGACAGAGAGAAAGGGAAACACAGAATCCAAGGCAGGCTCTAGGCTCTGAGCTGTTAGCACAGAGCCCGATGCACAGCTTTGAACTCACAGACTGCAAGATCACGACCTGAGCCAAAGTTGGACATTTAACCAACTGAACCATCCAGGCGCCCCTACATTTTTTTTAAAGTATATTTATTTATTTTGAGATGGAGGGAGGGGCAGAGAGAGAGGGATGGATAATCCCAAGCAGGCTCTGCAATGGTAGTGCAGAGCCTGATGCGGGGCTCGATCCCATTACATGAGATCATGAACTGATCCGAAACCAAGAGTTAGACACTTAACTGAGCCACCCAGGTGCTCCTCTTATTACATTTCTTTAGTTATCTATATCTCCTATTTGATAAAAACTAATTCAGGTCTTATTTTACTCAAAATTCAATACCTGTTGTATTTTGTCCACCCTTTCACCTCTGCCCTTCTTATGCTTAGAAGTTTTCCCTCAGAGACAAAGATAGTATCGGACCAATATTCCTTCAAGTTTCTGTAAATCTATAAATCTGCCTGCATCTGCAGATACATTTTTTTTTTTTAATGTGCATTTATTTTTGAGAGAGAGAGAGCACAAACAGGGGAGGGGCAAAGAGAGAGGGGAACAGAGGGGCTCTGTTATGATAGCAGCAAGCCCTATATGGGGCTTGAACTCAACCAACCAGGAGATCATGACCTGAGCTGAAGTCGGACATTCAACTGACTGAGCCATCCAGGTGCCCCACAGATACGTTTTCTTTATCAGAGACTAGTCCTTCATTTGCATTCTAGTTCCATTTGTTAGTCCCTTTACCTTGAATCTTTAGTCTCTTCATCTGTGAAAAACATTTTCAAAGATGAAATACATAAAACATAATTACAGATTAGCATTAAGAGATGAGCATTTACTATTGATTTTAATGATAGGGAACACTAATTTTGAACCTCAGGCAAAATGTCTCCCCCAGAAAGAATTACTTTCTTCAATTAGTAAACTTCTATTACAAAAAAACCAAAAAAACTCCATTATTAGTAGTAGTATATTTTGAAATTCTTCAATGAAAATTTAGTGGAAATTTGCTTTCTCTCTTGTTAAGAGAGAAGGTACATAATACCTTCAATTTTGTTACAACACCTAAAATATTTACTCGCTGGTACAGGAAAAGTTTGCTGACCCTCAGGTGTAAGCCACCTTAACTGGGATGGGGGAATGGAGCAACGTGGATTAGAGATTCAAGAATAAAGTGGTTACAACTGGTGATTAATTGAAGGTGATGGGTGAAGGAGACCAAGTTCAGGATGATTCCTAGGTTTCTGCATTAAGCAACTGGGTGAACTGACATAGGCTTTCATTTTGTCTTGGAAGAAAATATGATGGTGAAGATTTTAATTAGGGACATTGGTTTCATCAATAATAACTGTGAAGAATTCTTTTATCTGTTTTTTAAAATGCAGCTTTATTGATATAATTCATATACTCTATAATTCACTGATATACAGTGAGCAGTTAATTCACTGGTTTATAGTTTATTCACAGGATTGTGCAGCCTTCACCCAATCCAATTTAGAACATTTTGTTTTTCTCTCAAGGAAACCCCTATCCCCACTCCTGTTTTTACTCCTACCCCTCAAAACCATCAATCTGTTTTTTTGTCTCTGTAGATTTGACTGTGTGGACATTTTGTATGAATGGAATCATATGTGGAGCCTTTTGTGACTGGCTTCTTTCATTTGGGCTAATGTTCTCAGGGTTTGTTCATGTATCAGTACTTCATTCCTTTTTATGGTTGAATGGTATTCCATTATATGGATATATCAGATTTTATTTATTCATCACCTGTGTTGGACATTTGAGTTGTTTCTACTTCTTGGATATTATGAGTAATGCTGTGAATATTTGTGCACAAATTTTCATGCGGATGTATGTTTTCTTTTGGTTATATATCTAACAGAATTGCTGGGTCATTTTGATAAATTTATTTTTAACTTCCTGAGGTGGTGCTGCAAAACTTTTTTTTTTTAATGTTTTATTTATTTTTGAAAGAGAGAGACAGAGTATGAGCAGGGGAGGGTCAGAGAGAGAGGGAGACACAGAATCTGAAGAAGGCTGCGGGCTGTGAGCTGTCAGCACAGAGCCCGACGCGGGGCTCGAACTCGTGAACCATGAGGTCATGACCTGAGCCAAAGTCGGACGCTCAACTGACGGAGCACTACCCAGGCGCCCTGCTGCCAAACTTTTTTAAAGTAGCTGTGTTATTTTATATTCCCACTAGCAATATATGTGGGTTCCATTTCATCCACATCCATTTTCTTTTTATGATAGCCATCCTAGTTAGTATGTCTCTTTTATATCTGACTTTAGATAGGTTTGAAGATTGCTGTATGGACATATTCTCTTGCCTTCCAGAGATGTGGGTACTGTTAGGACATATTAGTCTTTGTGATATTGCAAAACAAAACTGAGCTAAAGCTTAGAATAAGCCAGGTGCTAGGATGAAGGAAAAATGATTTGGGAAAATGACTTGCTTCGTATTGGTTCTCTACCTTCTCTTTAGGTATACCCTGCTTGCATAATAAATGTTACATGTTCTTGAGATGTTATAAGAAAATCCAATCATATTTTAAATAAACCAGAGGATTGCTTTATTTACATAGAGCTTTTTGTAAAGAGCATAGTTTTTTTTTTTTCTAGAAGTAGCCTGGTAAGGCAGAAAATATGAGATTTGTAGTCAGACAGACTTAGCTTTAAATCCTGCTTACTTACCAGCTTTTTTTACTTTGGGCAAATGACTTGAACTCTCTGAGCCTCCATTTCCTCATCTATAAAATGAGGATTAAAATAGTATCTATTTTAGGGACACCTGGGTGGCTTAGTCAGTTGAACTCCTGACTTTGGTTCAGGTCATCATCCCGCACAGTTCATGAGTTCAAGCACCACGTCAGGCTCACTGCTGTCAGCCTGTCAGTGCAGATCCCGCTTCAGATCCTCTGTCCCTCTCTCTGCCCTTCCTCCACTTGTGCTCTCTCAAAAATAAATTTGGAAAATACTATCTACTTTATTGAAATATTATGGAAAGGGGCGCCTGGGTGGCGCAGTCGGTTAAGCGTCCGACTTCAGCCAGGTCACGATCTCGCGGTCCGTGGGTTCGAGCCCCGCGTCGGGCTCTGGGCTGATGGCTCAGAGCCTGGAGCCTGTTTCCGATTCTGTGTCTCCCTCTCTCTCTGCCCCTCCCCCGTTCATGCTCTGTCTCTCTGTCCCAAAAATAAATAAATGAAAAAAAAATTTTTTTTTAATAAAAAAAAAAATATTATGGAAAGATGCCACAAATGAATGAGGAAATAATGTGGATATAAAGTGATTAGTACTGTTTGCAGCTGTGATATTGATGATAATTTTTAATCTTATTTTCGTATCATGATTTTAGTTATCGTGAAATATTTGTTGATATTTATTTCCTTTTTTAAAGTTTATTTATTTTGAGAGAGAGAGAGAGAGAGAGAGAGAGAGTGTGTGTGTGTGTAGGGGAGAGGCAGAGAACTAGAGAGAATCCCAAGCACTGTCAGTATAGAGCCTGATACAGGGCTTGATCTCACGACCATGAGATCATGACCTGACCCAAGATCAAGAGTCGGATGCTTTACTGACTGAGCCACCCAAGTGGCTAGTCCCTTTTTTTAAAACCACTTTTACATCTTGGTCTTATTTCCATTTGGATTCCAAAATTCATAGTTTTTTTCTAGCAAACTTTTATTTTCTCCCTAGGAGTACTTCTTTGATTCCAGAGTATTAACAGATGGAGAACTGGCTCCCAATGATCGATGCTGTCGTGTGTGTGGAAAAATAGGCCACTACATGAAAGACTGCCCTAAAAGGAGAAGGTTGGCAAAATGATTATATATTGACATTACAGGGAAAATAAATGTGAGGCCAGTTGTAGCTGTAACTGTGTTCATATATGTTTAAGTGAGAAAGTTCAGGGCTTAAATTGGACGTTGGGTAAATGTATATTGGAGTGGAATTTTGTTAATAGAGTGAGATTTATTTGTGGTACAATGGTATCTTAAAATACTCATTTGTTCATTTATTCATTAATTCATTGTGGCTTTGTGTTTCTTTTTTTTTAAATTGAAGAAGGATTTATTGATACCTTCTTTATTGGAAACTGTGCTAGGAGTCAAGAAAAAAAAAGAGACATGGGGTTCTCACCTCACAGTAATGCAAACCAATAATTATAATATATAATTAACTAAATCTTTGAGGTATCTACTGTGAGGTATACCTATATAATACATATTTTGAGGAATATTTATTCTCTCTACCCCCTGAGGATATATTTATGAAATATACTTTCCTGTATTTAATAGGCCAAGAAAATCCCTTCTGTAGGAATCAAGTCCTGCCTAATATAAAGATCTTAGAACTTGTCAGACAGAATGAACTCCTAGGTTGCATCAGTGCTATTTACTGATTGTTAAATGAGAAGATGCTTTCTCTAAGCATCTACTTCTTACTCTGTAAAATGGAGTTAATAAATACCAGCCTCTGTTTGATTGTTATAAGATTAAAATTCAATACTAAAAATTTTTTCTAATTTGATAATGTATTATAAAACTACTAGAATACCCAGTTGCTGCCATATGAGTAGATGTGCTTTAAATATGAGTTCTTTTGCCTTAAAAAAGATGCATGAAACCATGAGCATGTTAATCCCTTTATTGTGAGACTCTTGTATAGTTTAGTTTGTTCTGTGATTCACTCAGTTTACAAGTCCCTAGCCCCACATTATTGGTATCAGCAGTTTACTGTTTAGACTAAAGAAGAAAGACAGTGAAGAAGAGAAGGATGGGAATGAAGAGGAGAAAGACTCCCGAGACCTTCTTGATCCCCGAGACCTCCATGACACTCGAGAGTTTAGAGACCCCAGAGACCTCAGATGCTTCATATGTGGAGATGCTGGACATGTACGAAGGGAGTGCCCAGAGGTCAAGCTGGCCCGTCAGAGGAATAGCAGTGTGGCTGGTAAATAGAACAAGCCAAAAATAGTTTCTGGTAGAAATAAGGTCATTTGTGTTGATAACATTTTTAATGTATTTATTGTTTTGAAAGAGAGATAGTATATGTGTGCACGAGCAGGGAGAGGAAGAGAGAATATCTTAAGCAGGCTCCATGCCCAGGGTGGAGACAGACTCAGGGCTTGCTCTCACAACATGAGATCATGATCTGAGCTGAAAGCAAGAGTTGGTTGCTTAACTGACTGAGCCACCCAGGCGCCCTGCAGAAGGTATTTTCTGAAATATATTGTCTCCTTTAGAAAAGCAGTATTTGTCTTTTTGTCCTTTCTATTCCCAGTTTTTTTTTTTTAAGTTTATTTATTTTTGAGACAGAAGAGTGTGTGCATGCACACGTGTACACTTGGGAGAGGGACAGAGAGGGAGATAAAGAATCCCAAGTAGGCTCTGTGCTGTCAGCACGGAGCCTGATGCGGGACTCGAACTCATGAACCTCATCATGACCTAAACCGAAATCAAGAGTCGGAAGCTTAATCAGCTGAGCCACCCAGGCGTCCTCCACAGCATATTTTTTTAGTGATTTACAAGATTGAAAAATGACTTTAACAAAAATGTTGTTACAAGTCCTTCACATGCATAATCATAGTTTAAAAGTACAAATCTAAGATTTGAGACTCTTTAACAGAGAAAGGGAGTTTATTGATTGTCATTTCTCTGCTGTTTTCATTATCTGTTGATTTTCTTTCTGATGTCTTCTCTTAGCAGCCCAGTTGGTCCGCAACCTCGTAAATGCCCAGCAAGTGGCTGGTTCAGCCCAGCAACAGGGTGATCAGTCCGTAAGGACTAGACAGTCCTCAGAATGTGTAAGTACTGAACCTGCAAATGGATTAGTCTTGGCAGGAAGATAGTACTATCTTTGATGGGTGATAGGGTTGATCTTTCAGACTTCAAATACAATCATCCAGATTACTTGGTGCTTTGTAGTGGTATTCTTGCTAGTCACCTGAGGTGGAATGAGCATTACTTTTGGAGTGATGTATATCTGGGTTTGTATCTATGGGCAAGCTACTTAACTTCAGTGACTCTGCCTTCTTATTTGTAAAGTAAGATAACAACTACTAATATGTTTGTTGGTAGATTAAAATAAGGTAATGACTTTGAGGTTCTAGGCTTTGCCTAGTGGAAAAATATCAGCAACATTTATAAAAATAGACACAAAAATTGAGATGTGTTGGGGTTTAATACTGTTAAGGCAGTACATGCATGGTATTGCACTTGCTTGAAGCTTTTATGTGTCTTCTCATAGCTAATTTGAATACCTAGTGAAATATATCCGTGAAAGCAGAATATTGAATTAGAGTTCAGATTCACAAGTTTCATATTTGCTGAGTTGCTTTTTACCTTTATGTAAATCTGTATTCATCTTGCACTTCTTAAATTAATTAATTCAATACCAATCGAATGTTTGCTTACTCTAAATGTGACATTATGTTTTGGTTTGTCACACTTAATCCTTTGGGCGGCTATGTGAAGTGGAAGGTGTTAGTGTGATCAAATTTTACAAATTGGGAAGCTGAGAATAAGAGAAACTAAAAGATTCAAACCTAGGTTTGTGTAGCTTCAAAGCTGTTAACTATTAAACATGCTAAATCTGATATCTGTGTTTTAGAAAAAAATCTTTAAGAATTTTTTTAAGGTTTATTTATTTTGAGAGAGACATAGAATGAGCAGGAGAGGGGCAGAGAGAGAGAGATTGATTGATTCTCAAGCAGGCTCTGCAGACAGTGCAGAGCCTCATGCAAGGCTCAGACTCACAAAAGGTGAGATCATGACCTGACCCGAAACCGGGAGTCGGAGGCTTAACTGAGCCACCCAGGCGCCCACTAGAAAAAAATTCGAAGAGTATATGAAGATCAATATAGGGAGAGATTGGGAACATTAAGCAGCCCACTATCCTCACCTATAGTATTTGCGTACCTACTATGGGTCTGACATTTTCATAAATGTTACATAACAGCGGTAATATTAGCTAACGTTGTTGAGTGCTATGTACTGTATATATGCTTTTTTTCTATTTCTTCCTGTAAAATATTTGAAAAGTACAGAAAATAATAAACATTCATGTAGTACCACCAGACTTTAATAAGTCTTAACATTTTGTTAGCTTTGATTTATTAAAAAATTACCCATAGTCAACAGTCCCTATGCATTCGTATTGGATCTTAAAACCTTCCTTGGGGCGCCTGGGTGGCGCAGTCGGTTAAGCGTCCGACTTCAGCCAGGTCACGATCTCGCGGTCCGTGAGTTCGAGCCCCGCGTCAGGCTCTGGGCTGATGGCTCAGAGCCTGGAGCCTGTTTCCGACTCTGTGTCTCCCTTTCTCTCTCTGCCCCTCCCCCGTTCATGCTCTGTCTCTCTCTGTCCCAAAAATAAATAAACGTTGAAAAAAAAA